ATCTGAACTAAGAGGATGTTATTTTATTCTTCCACATGACACACATTGTCTCTAGTTCATTTTTGTGCAAGAAAAAAATAGATGAGGAAATTTTGCAACTATTTTGTTGTTATAAGCGGCTTTGATGGATACAATCACTTGCCACAGTCCGTTAAAGCACCCGTGTCACATATATGTGACGCCAAGCTCGAGAAAAAGTTGTGGATTAACACTTGTTTACGCTGCGGATAATCATGTGACTAAAATGCGCTTAATCCTTCCTCACAATTGCTTCGTTTTTAATTAATCCACTTAAATAAATGCTTTGCGGCACCATGACGGAAGACGAGAAATAATGGTAGAGGGTGGTGAAATAAGTAGTATGTGTTGAGTAGAAACAGAAAAGCATTTGACATGTATAAGTTATTTGAGAAAGAAAACTTTCCTCTTACTTATACACTTAGCATGGATAACCTCACTTTGACATCTAGGATGTAAATCTATGTCCTTGTTGTCAACAAGTACTTCGCGATGAGAATTGAGAACCCAACTACTGATAATAACTCGTCTGTTGAGCAAAAGTAAATAAAAGCAAGACGCCAGCGTAGCCCGTGACTGCGCTTTGTCAAAATAGAATTGAATTGTCATTAACGAAGTTTGCGGTGAACAAATGCGGGTTACTGGATGCATAAATATTAGATGAAAATCAGAGGTTTGGAATTACCCACGTTTGCCAATGAACCAGTCCTACTGCTCGATCGCCTTAGGTGGCTGTGCTTGTGGCATCACTGGAGGCATCAGTGCTAAAATGACTGGAGACCATTGTCGAGATCACACTGAGGTACCATTGATAGAGGTCAGTGTGGTGACAGACGTGCCCTGTTTCCTCCTTCATAAATTTAACCCACTTCGGATGGGTATGATTGACTGATAGCATGAGTAGGTGTGATTCCAACCCGTCGTCTGCCTGCTCTACTGTTTGCCTTACCAATTCACTGTCACATGGTTCCAAATTGGTCACAGTTTCTCCTCATCTTGATTGTGTGTAGGGTTTGCAGAATGTGTGGTATGCGTCACCTCAGAACCGCCACCGTCCCGAAGGGAGTTGAACCACGGGATTGTGGTGATGAAGCATTGTAGCATCAATGCAAGACCCTCTATTCTCTGTCATGAGGAAGTGTTAATTTAATGTGCCTCCTAAGTGAAGTAATTTAATATTATGCCGGCGGTGAGTCAAGGGTGCCTGCCAGTCATGCCCAAGATGAGTGATGAGGCAAGCATTTGAAGCGTGCATTATTTGTGAAGGGAAAGTCTTGGCGTTTACCAATCAAATGGTCAGGATAGACGGTAATTCTGAAAGACTACTAAATCAGTTCTTCACTTCACCTTATAAAGAGGTGTCGTTTCTAGTCCGTGAGACAATTTGCACCGTGGGACGAGGATAAGGTGGAAGAGATTGCCCCATTCTCGTCCTCTGTATTTCCTCCCTTGGTCCTCTAGGTTACTTCAGATAATAACATTTCTGAAGGACGTTTAAAAAGTAAATCTGGATTAGAAAAGCAGGGGACTGGAACTGTGTTCTATTGTGACTTCTGGTGACAAAATATTGAATGAAGGTGAAGCAACTCCACAAAACTCATTGGTTTGTAAAGCGTAACAAGCTGCTTTAGTAGTTCATTCAACAAGTAAAATACAAAGAAGCTCATCTTTTTTATAGTAGTCACTGTTTTGGCATTAAGAACGGCAATTTCTTACCATCAAAAACATAACTTTTCAAAGATTATAATCGTATCATCCCTGTTACCTTAAGCGAGTCTTCAAGGACCATCGTTAACTCATTTTTTGTGTTTAGGGAAACAAGGTATTCCTCCGCCTAATTTGAATTCCTCGTGGAAAAAGGTTATTGTCAGTACCGAATGATACTGAAAATGCCGGAAATCTACCTTCTTTCCTAGTCCCCAAGGTGCCAAATACAACTCTTTACCCGTAAAATTTGATGGGCGGGGAGAAGGGGTGGGGGGGCAAAAACCCTACAAATTGCGACAGCAGTGTCTCCTTAAAATGTCCCCTTTTTGCCTATTTCGCATGCTTTTGTCCACTCCCATTAAAATCCTTCTTCCTTGAAGGTGGAAAAACATTTTATTGCCTGATTGTATACGTGACCGAGTTATTCGGAGGGAGATTAAAAATGCGTAGGTGATTACACTTTGAACGGATCCACTGCACTCCTCTCTCAACACATTCTACCCTCCTTTAATTTACTCTGGGGGTGGTTAGGCTTAGTTAGGTTTTGCAGATTCCACACCCTAACGTAAACACGATTTGTACCAACAAATGTAGCCAAGGAGTGATGAAAATTTGTTACGGCGTCGTGTGTGAATTGCTCCATTAAGCGAGCACTCAGTTGTTGCATAAACAATTGACAATTAAAACAAGGCTTAATGTCCTGATGAATAGCCTTTACTGCTGTTTTGGACTACCTCCTTATCCCCTCTTTCTCTTAAAGTACCACGTTCTTAAGACCATTTCAATAGTTTGCTGACACGTTCTTGAAGGGCATGATCGTGCTCCGTTGATCGGGAGAGGGGTAGGGAGAAAATACCCGGCATATTTAACCAAACTAAAGCACGTTTTCTTCGCCTTCCAAACCGCTGGAGTACCAGCTGAAGCGAATTGACTCAAGCACATCATTTACATTCACCAACCGTCAAGGTTACCGTAAAATTGTGCACCACTAATTAGAAAGTGGCACGAGTGTGCTCCACTCATTTACATGCCTGTGCCACGCCTATTTAACCCTGATCAAGGATCCGCCAGGACGAAAAGATAGGCAAAATCTTCCCCCTATTCATATGCCCTCTATTAAATTTTATGTGAAAGTTGACGGATTACCTTTTCACTAACTATTTGATGTTTTGGTGTTTGGTGTGTCTTTTGAGGAAAAAAAATCAAAGGCAGTGAATTTTGTAGACGAATTTGTACTTGATCTATAAATAACACCACCTCGTCCAGTGAGTACGACATCATTCTAGCCTTGGTTACCTCCATGACCCTATTTCTGATCACTAAATTGCTTAGGAAACAAGGAATTGTCGTATTGAGAGGCCGAGGAGTGAAATAAAAGCATCAAAATGATGAGCCTTTGGGGGCTGCAAATCTAGGCTCCGTCCAGGCCTTGTATTATTAGCCTACACAGTGTAGCAAACGCAATTACAAGACGGTCAGCGATTCAAAGCGCACGTTATTTACAAGGGAGAAGGAAAAATACGTAAGGGGGACTTCAAACCGCTGCGCAGTGCTGGATTATCTGTCGCATTTCTTTCAACTCCGTCCCCAATCGCCCCCTCCACCTCCTCCAGCCCACGTGGAGATGAAGGTCTGGTTCGCAAAATTTATGACTACATGCTTTACTGATGCTGCGGTATTCCATTTCTTCCCTTCCCAAATCACCCTCCCAGACAGGCAAATACATGCAGAGATACACAGATATCTATATACACCCACAAACACACGAACTTCTTGAATCTATGATACTGTTTGCCGCATCTTTACTCTTGTCTCTGGCACTATTTTTGGAACATCCACCGCGGGGATCGGTAGATTTTTACGATGATAAGAAGGGTACTTTTTGACTTTTCAGTTGAAGAACAGCCGTATTATTGCTCCGTGGTTTCCAGTTTTGGGCACCCAAATGAGGATCTTACATAAAAGGAAGATAAATTAAACGGCAATTACACAGGGGAGCAATCCACAATCTCTTTTGTTTAGAATAATTTAATTAAGTTAGCAAAGGAAATTAAAAGAGTAGGCTTTCATTTCTCTTATTAGTTAAGAAAATCAAATAAAAGGTGAACGGGTGGGAAGAGGAAGAAGATGTTGAAGGAGGAGGAGGGAGGAGGGA